ATGCCCTTGGCCTTCTCCGTGCTAGAGTTTTCATTCAAAAAACGATTTGGCAAGAACTGAAAATAGATGAGCTTTAATCCTTTCCTTCGTTCTTGAGAAAAACACTATGAGGTTTCTTCAGGATTGTTGTCTCGTTGCTCTAAGTTGAACTGGGTCACTTAGGGAAAGGTTGTGCTGCTGGCAACTCAAAAGTAGTTCGTTCCGTTACTAGTTCGTGGTAGTTGTCATTATGTGATTTATTAGCTTATTGTGGTTCCTGTTGGGATCTGGCCTTTTGTACTCTTAGTTGTGATTAATCTCCTGTTGGCTTGCATTGGCATAGTAATATTATGTTGTTCCAGTTCCGGATTTGAAATATTTTTACAGTATTAGCGCACTATTTGTGTTTAGTTTACTAAGTTGGAATATATTGAACTATTCATCCATGGTTGTCTTTTGTTTAATAACTTAAGCGATGTTTGACTTTTGTTATTGGATCACTGCACCTTCAACTTTGGGCTCCTAATCCAAAAAAAAGCTTTGAGCTCCTATGCATTTAGTTGTTATAGTTATTATAAACTTGCCGTTAGTACCATGTGTTCAGATCCCTCCAAAAGTGTACCTATGGCTATGGATATTTTGCTTGGCATAATAGATATCGTGGGACTATCTTGAGGTTTATACATATTAATTCAATTTGATGGCACTTTGATTATTAGATTATATATATAATGTTTCCTGAAATTTTGTTTTGGCAGGAGCAGGCTGGGCTGGATGGAAGCCTCATATTTTCACAGTCCAAGCTGGAGAGGTACACTGTCCAATGCTTATGATGCTCCTACAGATGTACTTATGCAGTCTTAGGATTTTTGTCATCTCTTATATCAAAATCTGTATGGGTTATGTTTACTTGCATCATTTTTTCAAGCTATACTAATAGCATCATTTTCTTAAGCTATATTGTCTATTCCATGGTTATGTGAAGTCATATACTGATTAATCTCTATTTTTTTCGGTTACGAAGTTGTCCTTTTGTGTTCCACACTTGCTATTATGGTGCCATAACTTTTTTTTCTCTATTTTTAATTACCTAGTGCAATTGTATGACTGTGCTGCTCTTTGGATATAAGATTTGTCCTGCCTCAGGAAATGTTTATTACGCCTGACATCCTGCTCTTTTATCTTGTGAACTTTATGTCATGCTCCTTAGCCTGGACTTCAGCAAACCATATATATACTTGCATGACCCATATCTTTAGTATACCTTTCATGCTGACCTATCGTTAAATGGTTTGAGCTTATTCAAACCAGAGTAGAGTTAGTCGTCTTAGCCTGATATTTTTTTCTTAAAGTTCGTGCTATTCTGTGATAGTCTGCTAAGTATACTTGTTAGAATGGAAGGGTGAATACTTATTTTTCAATCATGTTACTATATTTTTTCCCTGTCACCTATTTCTTTGTGCATCTTGTTGTATGGTTCTTCACTGCAAACCTCTTATTTAGTTTTTTCCCTTAGCTTGAGGCGCCTTTTTCTTGTATTATATCTTCATTTTACATACTTGTTTCTTGATTACTCGGTGCTGCCTTGCGTATTTTTTCCTGCTGACTGCTATTATGTCGGGTGAGCATTAGGTAATGGCTTGACTGGATCGCCTTGTTATGGAATTGGACAGCGCACTCCCTATATGTTAGGGCCTGGATTCCTTTTAAATATTTATTTTCTATTATTATCTGCCTATTGTTACGAAATTACTCTCTATTGAGTTAATAGAGGGTAGGCAAGGATTATGAGGCAACCTTGCCACACCACCGCCCCCACTGCACCACCCTTACCAGAGTGAGACACTGTCAAGGGCGTCAATGCCCAAGACAGCGGGTCCTCGGCTACGGAGCTCGTAGCCTCGGCTGATAATGGCGTCGGGGTTGTTGCCCGGCTGCCCAATGGTGAAGGAGGTGAGATTAGAAAGAAGAGAAAGGATTAGGATTGGTAATTCTTGATTGATTTCCAAGAGTGCCAATTACATGGGATATATAGGCCCGTGGCCATCTAATAAAAAGGAAACAAACTCCTTTATTCTAGCAATATCTAATCCTAGCATTATTCTAGCAATATCTAATCCTAGCATTATCTGATTGCATGGCTGCATGCCTCAATCAGCTCCTAGATGCGTGGCCGGCGTCGGTACTGGACGCCCCCACATGACAGACACCACTATGGACCTTGGTCCTTGGCTGGTTGTCTCTTACTCCATATATGCTATGTGTTCCAACCTAGCCCATAACAGCTGTTTTCACATGTTCCTCAGCTTTCCGTTCCAAATTCATTTTCTTTGTGAACTTGTGCTTTCCTGGTAACCTGCTAAAGAAGGATCCATGATTTCAGGATGTAGCATCAAGAGCCATGTCATTTTCTGGGAATGGATGGGCAGTTTGTATCCTCACAGCCAATGGCGCTGTATCTAACGTGACCCTGCGTCAAGGAGAGTCTTCTGGTGGAACAGTAACTTATGAGGTTTGTAGATTCTTCCAACTTTGAATTATTTTGCTCAGTTTAAATATCCTTTTTTTCTGGTATATCTATAGAACTATATCCGAGCTAAACCTCAGAGTCACCAAGTTCCTAGGTCGATTGGGTTGAGGAACACAGTACGGTACTTGAGACAGGTTTTTAGTTTTTACATGGTGGACATGAGAATGTTCCCACATTCCTGGGATAGGAACGACATTCCTAGGAATGTGGCACCGTTCCATGTTCCCTGTGACACTGGCTACACCACCAGGATATACTTAAATAGAATGGAAAATACAATGCATAAAACATAAGAGAAGGATGGACCTTTTTTTTCTGGCAATACATCTCTACAAGGGCCTATTGTTTAGCGGTTCTGGAAGTAATTAACTTATGTGCTTGCACTAAATTTTGAATGCAGTTTCTTGCATCCAATATGCAGGGCCGTTTTGAAATTCTCTCTTTGGCTGGGTCGTATCTTCTGTCAGAAAATGCTGGCATGAGCAGTCGAACAGGTGGACTTAGTGTTGCTCTTGCTGGCCCTGATGGGCGTGTTTTAGGTGGTGCTGTAGCAGGTCCTCTAACCGCAGCTTCGCCAGTTCAGGTTCCCCTGTTATTCTGAATTCACTATCTCAATTTAGATTTTTACATCTGATACCTTGGTCTCTTTGTTTCGTGAATCATGTGCTTTACTTCCCACTATGCAATACTATCATTGCACGTGATTTTTCCAAGTGATTGATGATATATATATACATACTGTCATCTAACACAAAACATGATAAAATGATCAGTTATATTTTTTTTGGGCAATCGGCTTTAGCTTAGTGTTTTTGCACTTACTCCTGGAAGATTGACAAATCTCTTAATGGATTGTGTTTTTGTTATTCTGCTGTTCAGGTGGTCATTGGGAGCTTTCTGGCTGATATGGAGCTTGACCCTGGATCAGCACCCGAAAAACATGTTTTCGGAAGGTTTCCAACTGCCAGCAGTCCATCTAGGGGTACTGAATCCTCGGGTGGGCATGCAAGCCCACCAAACACCACAGGCTCCTTCAGCACCAGCACACATCCACCAGGCTTCCCAAGCTTTACCCCCTGGAAATGAGCTTAATTACCAGCTATGGTGGAGTAGGGCCGTGGGGTTGAGGAGGGAGGGATGGGGATTAGAAGACTTCATTAGGTACTCCTGCTGAAGGAACTGATGATCCTCGAGCGTCAATTTAGTTTCACCAGATCGTTATGAGAGTGGATCCTATTTAGGTACTTCTAACTGGTTACAGTGAAGTTCTGGTTTGCTGCTTGTCTTGATATGTTGCATCATTGAGGCACTCCAAACTCCAAAGTGGCGGTAGCATACAGTAAATTAGATGATTTTTTTTTCCTATCAAATGCCTTTTTGTCATTCTCCTGCTCTTATTTCGGTTATTAGTGCTGTGTGGCCGTGTTGATAGAAGAAGTGTTTTGAAGTCTTCAGGCAGCACTGTTCTGTTCTGTTGTGCCCCATTAATCCCCCCTTTTTTTTAATTTTGGTATATCGACTATCCAGTTTGTGAATCCATCCCCTTTGTGCTTATATAGGCAGCCAATGATATAGAACTTGCGAGGCTGAGCAGGAAATGGTCCTTAAAATTTGGAGAATTTTTTTTAGATAAATTTGGAGATTATTATGAACTGTGTTATTTATTTGTCGAAGATTTAGGTGGGAGGATCTGTTGAATTTGTTACTGGAGGATTTGTCTAGAAGGTTTATCATGGTCAATGACTGCCTAGAACTAGAAGTGGTGCTAGATGTGTCTAAACATGACTAGTGTGTAGTACGATCATAAAGATGTGTGTCATGGCGATTAGTGACTGTCTGATATTTGACAAGTATATGATTTGGTAAGTGAGGGCATAATAGAAGATCGAAGCTGCATTTCTATCTCTAGAGGTATTTTCTCAAACCTCACTTACAAAATTATAATATAAGGCATGGGACGTACATCTATGAGGCCATTTAGTGGCAAGTCAATGGGTGATTGTCTGTCCAGCGTGCAGGTTAGAGACAGCGACGAAGCCAGGAAAAAATTTAGGTCAGGAAAAAATTTAGGTCGGGCTGAACAAAAGTCTATGGCGATTTATCTCTACTATGGCCCCACACAAATAGACATATATATATAATAGCTTGAATTAATATTATATTGAAAACATCGACCAACGACGAAATTCACAAAATACAACATGAAAAAAAAAGATATAGTTCATTCATACCGAAAGGACCAATTGTTACACAAAATAGTTATAATCGATTAGTCATACATATATTGATATATAGACCTCCAAATTATAAATTTAGAAGAGAATAGAGCGTACCACTACTTTTTTAGGCAATAACATACGTCGCTTTTTCATCTCTTGAAACTGCTTTTTGATCTTTTCATTATCAATCTTTCTAAATATCTCCTTCTCAGTATAACATATCATCAAATCATTGAGCCATTCATCACCCATTTTATTGCGCAAATCTGTCTTTATAATGTTAAGGCTGAAAATATCCTCTCAACTGAAGCTGTTGCCATTGGTAGTATCAAGATTAGCTCAATGAGACGATAAACCAATTTATAAGATGTGTGCATTTTAATCTTGACCATAATTTCAGCAACTTTTCCAAGCTCAGTGCATCCAAGAAAGTCTAGAGTTCTTCTAGCACGGTTGACAAATTGTGTAAGATGATTTGGCAAAACAGCAAGTTCACCAATATCAAAATCATCGGCATAAATTTCAGCAAGCCTCACAAGTTTCTTCACATCAAAATTAGAGGAGTCCCTTGGGTTAAAAGCAGCCATGCATATTAATAATTCTGAACTAGTTTCACTGAACCGATGATTCATCTCAGTCAAGAGGGCATCAATGGCGACCAGAAAAAGCTCAACATGATAGTAATGCATATTTGTTACATTTTGCTTCCTTCTTCTAGGTGTCCCTCTAACATTTATTTCCTTATCCATATCTGGCACTTCAATCTCATTCTTCTCATAGAATGTTATCACTCTTTTGAGTAATGGCTCCCATCCATTTTCCCTCATATCCTACAAGCTATCTTTCACATCTGAGATCAAATGCATTGCTTCAACTATGTCTTGATCCTTCCTTTGCAAAGCTTGTGACAAAATATCTGTCATGCTCAACAATTGTATCATCAAATGCAGGATGAACACAAAATCAAAGCTCTCCATTTTCAATTAAACCTAAAGCTCCACCATTATTTCTTGGTTTAATAGAATCTTTTTTCACTATCTCAAGCACATCTATGATAGCCTCCCACATCACCAAAATGCGAAGCAAAGTTTTAAGATGTGAACCCCATCTTGTATCTCCTGGCCTAGCTAGGCTACTTTCTTGATTTAAACCTTTTCCAGTCATAATCTCACCCTTATCAATCTTTTCTAGCAACACATCCTGATGCTTTGCAAGCAAGGCATCTTTTCTCATACAAGATGCACCTACATTGCTGACTATTAAAGGAACATAGTTAAAGAAATCTGCAATGTCTGCACTAGAAGTGGAAACAGCAACAACCACTAATTGTAATTGATGGGCAAAACAATGCACATAGAAAGCATAAGGATTTTCATCACAAATCAATTTCTGCACCCCATTAAATTCACCTCTCATATTAGAAGCTCCATCATACCCTTGCCCATGAAGCATAGAGATAGACAAATTGTGACTTGAAAGCATATCAACCAAAGCTTCTTTCAATGCAATAGCTGTACAACTCTGAACATGCTGAAGTCCAAGAAATCTCTCCACCACTTGCCCTTTATTATTCACAAACCTGCACAATACATTTTTTATATGTTAGTATAATTGTAGAAATACTTGTAATAAAATCTATGCACAAAATAAGCTCTGACCAAAATTGCAATTGTGGAATATTAACCTTAGAATGACTGCCATTTGCTCTTTTATTGATACATCTCGGGACTCATCAATAAGCACTGAGAATTTTCTACCTCGAATCTCATCCATACTGACAGCTGTGACTTCCTCTGCACAAGCTTTTGCAAGATCCTTTTGTATATCTGGAGATATCATCTAGCAATTTTTAGAACCTTTTTCATATGCATCATTGACTATATTTACCATATCTTTATACCAATCAACCATCTCTCTGAACATACCCTTGTTGAGGGAAGTACAACTCTCATCATCTCCACGAAAAGGCTGCCCTTGATATATAAGAAATCTTGCAACATCTAAAGATGATGTTAGACGAATCTCATATCGCTTTTCTTCCTCCATGCTTACCTCAACTATTCTTCGACCCACACTAGTCCTTTGGTTCATAAAATCATCACACTTTAGTCTAGCCTCTGTATGATTCTTGGAAGCACTGTGCTTCTGAAAAGTATCATTAGCATTCTTCCAATTTATATAACCTTGATGTGCAAAGACAGAACTCCCAAATTTTCAGGCTTTCCCGAATTAAAGAAAAGATAGCAATATAAGCAAAAATCAGCATCCTTGGACTCACTATACTCTAGCCAATCAAATTCATCAAACCAAGACTTTTGAAACGTTCTCCATTGATCAACCATCCATTTAGAAGGAAATTTAAATTCATGAGGTTGGGTTGGACCACTCAAAGCATATGCTCTCTTTAATTGGTCTCTAATTGCTGGATCATAAGAATCAATTGGTTTGCGTTGTGTAGGGTCAGCAATTAGGTTTGAATGACTAAACTCTTCCCTCAGTTTCTTTGGTTGACTTGTGCTCTCATTAGTATGTGGAGTTGAGCCACTGCCACTGCCACTTGCACTTGAATAGTAGTTCATCAAAGTTCTTTTCGACATACTGAAAATCTAAAAAAATGAAATCTATCATAATCAAACATTCAACACACATCATGGATCACGTACTCAATTTTACTGCTTAAAATGACCCTTAAAAATCACCTACACCTGCTTCTGTTGTTGTTTGGCGATGCTCTTGCTCTTTCCTCAAACTCCAAACTCCAGAGTTTCAAGCAGACGCTGCCGCGGCATGCCACCGCCTCCACCCACCACCTTGCATAGTCGCGTCCTTGCTCATGGCTGGCCTCCTCGGCTCCCTCGTCATTGTCCAAAGAAGAAGTGCACTGCCTTGCATTGGGCAAAAAGGCCGGCGAAGCTCGCCGCCACGGCGCGTCAAGGCCACCATTGGCCGAAGGCCAGGTCACCAAGCCCCGCCTCACGCCAAGCCGCCCGGAGATGCAATGACGAAGGAAGAGGAAGCCGCCGCGCGCTAGAATGTCAAGCGAAGAGGAGTCGGGACGCGAGGGAAGGGATGCAGCGGCCGATGGTACCCTGTACCCAATAGGGTTTGTTTCACGATTGGATTTGGGCCTGTGTTGTGATGTTCTGTCTCTATGAAGGCCCAATAACTAAAAGAGCCATTTTTCCATTTCTAAAAGATTTTAGCCCTTCCTAATCCATATAATTAGGCAAAAAAATTAAGGTGGGGCTGAGGAGGGGCTCCACGTTCCCTCGATCGGTAGCCCGGGCTGAAGCCCCGGTAGCACGGGCGCTGGCTCTGTCGCTGGTTAGAGATTTATATTTATATATAGAGCTCTTCTCCGACTATGGCCGATCTAGACGTACGAGTTTGGCTTAGGAATTGGGAGGGCCAAGATTTTTTACCTTCCCATCTATAAGATGTGTTGAGAAGGCGGGCGAGATAAGCCATAGTATAGTTAGGGATGGCGGTTGAGCTAATCTAATAGTGGGGGCACCACTAACAGTGGTGGCGTCACCTAAGCTGGCGAGGTGGTGGAAGCACTACCTGGAATAGATACAAGGAGTCATGATGTATGCTGAGGTAACAAGAGGAATAATGTGTACTGTGATACTATGAGGAAGAAAATATAATTGTATTCATTGAAATCCAATGATCATATAATTGCAAAAAAGGAATCCAATGATCACATTCTACAAATTTGGGATGGCTAGCCTAACCCTTATTTTATCCCACAAAGGCCCCATTCGGCTTGCTGAAACTGGCTGAAAAACACTGTTCTGGCTGAATTGTTGTGAGAAAAAACACTGTTCCGGCTGAAAAAATATGCCGAACAAGCCAGTTTCTAGGTAAGCCGAACGGGGCTAAAAAAGCTAGGTAATAACAATTAGTAAGCAATACATGAAAGGTGTGAGAACAGGTAGAAATTAAAACTCGAATTTCATACCTTGTTGTTGCCTTGTAGATCCATGCTTAGATCGGCTAGGCTTCCTCTACCTTGCGGATCCATGTTTAGATCAGCTAAGCCTCCTTCTCCAGTAACATAAAACTTCATCATTGAGGCTACAATTAAGAGTTTTGGGGTCAGCGGGGCCAGAGAAATATCCATGACTGGCTACTTAGTGATGTGGTAGTAGTCTGACATGGCTAGAGGCACGAGCGGTAGCACTTTGGAATGAATAAGGAAGTTAACACGTGACGGGTCGCGCATTTGGGAAAAGCGGTGATCCGTCGTCTTCCTCGCGAAGGCCTCTCCCCGCACTCATCCTCGCCTCGACCCATCCTCACCAACACCATCGGTGCCGTGCCGCCCGCCTCTTGCCCCCACACTGCCCTCCTCGTCCTCGCCGCGATGTCCCCTTCCTCGCACATCGGCCCGTTGCTCACCGCCCCATGCTAGGGTTTTACTAACCACGGAGCTTCGGTGAAACCCTAGCGGACCCACGGAGGCCTCCTCCTTCCCCCTCCCCTCTCCCACCGCTGCCATGGCCATCGCCGCCCCCGCCCACACCTAGCTCGGTCATCTCCACCGCGGCCAGAACCCTAACGCCGCCCTCCCGCCGTCCCCACCGCCTCGGTGGCCTGCCTCCCTTGAGCCCCATTATCTTCTAAGCCCGTCGGAGTTGGGAAGAAGAAGAAGACGGGCGCGGTCTCAGTCTCGGTCTCAGGCGCTGGGGTTAGGGAAGAAGGAGAAGAAGGTCGGGGAGGAGGCGAGCATGAGGAGGAAGACGGGTCACGCGCAACCCATCGCGTATTACCTTTTGCGATTGAAGAAAGGTCGGTGACTCCAACGGCGAGAGATGCAATCCTCAAAGATGAATTATGACGGCAGTTTGTGGAATCTAGAGACAAAATGAGCCAAGACAGGGATGCGAGGTAGAGTACCTCACTGTGATTAGCGACAGAACTTTCAGCGACTAGGAGGAGGAGTGCGCCGAAAAGGAGTCTAGATGGGTTGGAGGAAAGGAAGGAATACTATGGCTAGGGTTTTATTTGGACGGAAAAGATCTGAGTCATCTATCTTTGGATCCAACGGCCATAAAATTGGCATTTCTGTCGAGTCATCATAGGTATAATAGGTAGGTGGGCCTAAGCAACGAACAGACGTTTTGTAGAGGCAGAAGAAGCAGCAGTGAAAGAAAGGTGGGTTCAAGCAGGCGTCTTTCGTTGGGCCTTGGTCTGTGCATCTAGTACGTGTGAGTTTATTTGGGCCCAACAGGCCGTCTATCTATTGGATGGCTTGCAACAAACGGAAAGTCTACTTTGCCTCCCTCAACTATTGCAAAAATCATCTTTTCCTCCCTAAACTAGAAAACCGAACATAACTCCCCCATCTTTTCAAACCGGACATATGACCTCCCTGGCCGTTTCTCAAGGTGATATTTCTCTTTTTCTTTTATATTTATTTCGACTGAAACTTTGAAAAATTATAGTAAATTATAGAAAAATCATAAAATAGAAAATCCAATTTAGTTAGACTCCACATGAGTAGATCTACACAGTAAATATATGATACAGTATGTGTCAGTGCGAAATGTGGTCAACAAGTAAATATTTGTAGTTTTGCCATGTGTTGTGATCGGATGTGGCCTAGCATACGATGACATAGGATTTATACTAGTTTAGGCAACGTGCCCTACATCTAGTTTCAGTCAGTCGGTGACTTTATTCCTGAGCCCAGGTGCTCGAAGTTTGCTGTGGGGTTACAAACGAGTAAGGAATGAGAATGGGGTGTTAGAGGACCGGTCGGACTCTGATCCAAGTGAAAGGGAGTGACGGATGCTCGAACGTGCGCTAAGTATTGGAGCGTATGCTCTGTGTGTTCGAGCTTATCAGTTGTTGAAAGCATGTAGACTGTGAGCTGTCGATCTCTAGAGCCATCAAGCTGTTGAGCTGTTTTTTAGCCGTCCTCCTTTTAGGAGAGAGCGCATCCCTAAAAAGATGAAGGGGATGACCTTATAAGTCAAAGACGGAAAGGGAGAGAATATGTATGTGTGCTACCTAGTCTTGTTGCCCACGTGAAAGCTCTAGTTTGGTTTTGGTGAATTGATAAAACCCTAAGTGCTAACCTAGTTTATCAAGTGATCATGAGATAGGTTGCACATTCCAAGTGGTGAAGCAAATGAAGATCATGACATGATGATGGTGATGCCATGGTGATGATCAAGTGCTTGAACTTGAAAAGAAGAAAGAGAAAAACAAAAGGCTCAAGGCAAAGGTATAAATGGTAGGAGCTATTTTATTTTGGTGATCAAGACACTTAGCAAGTGTGATCACATTTAGGATCGATAGACATACTATTAAGAGGGGTGAAACTCGTATCGAAATGCGGTTATCAAAGTCCCACTAGATGCTCTAACTCATTGCATATGCATTTAGGATCTAGTGGAGTGCTAACACCCTTGCAAATGTTTGTTAAAATATGCTAACACATGTGCACAAGGTAATACACTTGGTGGTTGGCATATTTGAGCAAGGGTTAGGAACTTCACCGGTGGAGTGTCCGCCCGTAGAGTGTGGACAGTCCGACGGTGCCACCGACTCCCTAGACAGAAAAGATGGAAGTCACTGTAAGTGACCGGACGCTGGTCTCGTTAGGACCGGTGTGTCCAGTCAGGTGGAGCATGAAGACGCTGGCATCGGTCTCTGACCGGACGCTGAGGTCACTTAGTGACTGGACGCTGGAAGGTTGCGTCTGGTCCCACTGATGTGGCAGCGCACAAGGGAGTCATCGTGTGACCGAACGCTGGGTGTGTTCGGTCAAGCATGACCGGACGAAAAAATCGTTTCTGGATGCTTACTGGAAATGACCGGACGCTGAGGTCTAGTGTCCGATCACTTCACAGCAGCGCGTCCGGTCATCACTTGACCGTTGGGATCGGGTGCTCAGTATTTGAAGAGAGGGGACACGTGGCGTGCATCGCACAACCGGATGCTGGGGTCTAGCGTCCGGTCAATATGACCAAAGCGTCCGGTCACCCCGTGTTGTGCCTAGTGAAGGGGTACAACGACTCTATTTCATGGGGGCTTCTATTGAAGCCCCATGGCGGCCGGCTCAAGCTCACTCTCTTGACCATTTGCATTTACATAGCAGCCTTGTGAGCTTAGCCAAAGCCCTCCCACTCATCTCCATCATTGATTCATCATCTTTGTAAGATTGGGAGAGAATCCAAGTGCATTGCTTGAGTGTTTGCATTTAGAGGCACTTGGTGTTTGTATTTCACTGCAGGATTCGCTTGTTACTCTTGGTGGTTGCCACCACCTAGATGGCTTGGAGCAGTGAGGATCGTTGAGCGGAGGGTGGTGATTGTCTCCGGCTCCGATCGTGGTGATTGTGAGGGGTTCTTGACCTTTCCCCGGTGGAGAGCCAAAAGGTACTCTAGTGGATTGCTTGTGGCTTGTGTGATCCTCATCTTGTGTTGGTTGTGCGGCGCCCTATTGAGGGTTTGGCGTGTGATGCCAATTAGCGCGTGAACCTCCAAGTGAGTGAATCGCCACAACGAGGAGTAGCTTGCCGACAAGCAAGTGAACCTCGATAAAAAATCATTGTGTTCATCATTTGATTCCGATGTGATTGGTCTTCATTGATATTGAATTTGTGATTGAATGGTTCACTCCTCGACACGGCGGTCTAACTATCTTGCTCTTTCTCTTTACATTACCGTAAACTAGTTGTCAAGCTCTTTATTGTAGCTAGTTGTGAGAGCTTGTTAGTTTTAGTTAGTGTGGCTCTTTAGTTAGCTTGTGAGAGCACACTAACTTAGTGTAGTGACATAGCTTTGTGTGGATAGAAACTATATAAACTAGAACTGTGGTAGGTGGCTTGCAATTTTAGTAGGCTAGCGCAACACTTGCTTCGCTTATAATTGTCTAACCGGTTTCTTAAGTGTTGTTATAGAAATTTTTAATAGGCTATTCACCCCCCTCTAGCCATTAGGACCTTTCAAGTGGTATCAGAGCCAAGGTCACCGTGATTTGAGGCTTAACAACCTTCGGTGTAAAAAATGGCTCAAATCAACAACACCAAGAAGCCACCCCAATTTGATGGTTTAAATTATCCGTATTGGAAATCAAAGATGACCACACATATCAAGTCAATCAATAGAAAAGTGTGGAAGGTGATAGAAACCAAAATTGAGATTGGTGATCCGGAGAATCCCACCGCGGTCGAAGAAGTGCTTTTTCAAAACAATGACATTGCTCTAAGTGCTATTCATGATGCAATTGATGAGAAAACATTTAAGCAAATCAAGAATATTGAGATAGCTCATGAGGCTTGGAAGAAGTTGGAAGAATCATTTGAGGGCACTCAAGCCGTGAAGGGTGCAAAGGCATACATTCTCAAAGAGAAGTTTGCAAGCTTCAAAATGAAGGAGGATGAGAGTGTGCCGGAGATGTTCCATAGGCTTCAAGTGCTTGTCAATGATCTTAAAGCACTTGGAGAAGAGGTGAAGGACAAGGACTTCTCTCACAAGTTCTTGAGGTGTTTGTCTTCAAGATTTGGTACATTGGTCACTATCCTAGTGAGGAGTGGTTTGGACACCATGACACCAAACCAAGTGTTGAGAGATATTATGACCGATGATACATATGGAGATGATGATGAGAAGGAAGAAAAGAAGGAGAAGAAAGATGAGAAGAAGAAGAGTGTGGCATTCAAGGCCACATCATCCAAGGGCAAGGCAAACCAAGAAACATCAAGTGAAGATGATGTCTCATGGGATGATGATGATGATGATGAGAAGATGGCTCTCTTTGTAAAGAAATTTGGCAAGTTCATGATGAAGAAGGGATACCATGCTAGAAGAAAGAAGTCTTCATCCAAGAACAAAGAAGAGTCAAGAAGGTGCTTCAAGTGTGGAAGCAAAGATCATCTTGTTGCTCAATGTCCATACAATAGCGACAATGATGATGACAACAAAAAGAATAAGAAGAAGGACAAGAAGAAAAAGAAAGAGAAGAAGGACAAGATGACCTTCAAGAAGAAGAAGGGTGGTTCATATGTGGTCACTTGGGATAGTGATGCTTCCTCAAGTGATGATGATGATAGCGATGATGACAAGACCACCAAGAAGAAGGCACTTGCAAGCATTACAATCAATGAGAAGC